GGGCTGGGGTCAGGGATGGATTTAGGGTCAGGGATGGATTTGGGGTGCTGGGGGTCGATGTGGGATCGGTTTGGGGGTTTTGGGATGAGGAAAAGTGGGATGGGATGTCAGGAATGTTGGGATTTGGGTTCAGGGGGTGCCCCCCAAAAAGGAGCTGCACAGGGGGAAAGGGAGGTTTGGGACTCTGGAATTTTGGGATTTGAGTTTTGGGGTCCTGGAGTTTGGGATTCTGGAATTTTGGGGTGGGGGAGATCCCATGGAGAGGGGAGGGAAAACAGGAAACCGCGGGGTGGAAGTGAGTTTGGGGGGAAAAACTGGAATTTGTGGAGGAGAAAAGGGGATTTTGGGCGTGGGAAAAGGGAATTTGAGAGGAGAGAAAGTGGGATTTGTGAAGGGAAAAGTGGGATTTGTGAGGGGAAAAGTGAGATTTGTGAGGGGAAAAGTGGGATTTGTGAGGGGAAAAGTGGGATTTGTGAGGGGGAAAAAGGGATTTGTGAGGGAAAAGTGGGATTCGTGAGGGAAAAGTGGGATTTGTGAGGGAAAAATGGGATTTGTGAGGGAAAAGTGGGATTCATGAAGGAAAAAGTGGAATTCGTGAGGGGGAAAAAGGGATTAGTGAGGGAAAAATGGGATTTGTGAGGGGAAAAGTGGGATTTTGGGGGACAGGGCTTTAAAAACCCCTTGGAATGAGAGGAAGGGGATCTCCATGGAAAAGCGGGAATCCGGGGAAGGAGCAGGATCAGGGGAGGGACAAGCGACAACTTTTGGCGGGAAGCTGGAAAAATCCCGGGAATCCGGGCTTGGGAGAGCTCCTTGGGAGAGGAATTGAGGAATTGGGGGCGGAGCTGGATCGGGAATGCGCCGGGAGCTGTTTGGGGGAATCCTGCTGGAAATTTGGGAATCCCGGCGGGGATTTGTGTGTCTGGGAAAGCTTTTCCCAGGAAATAAAGAGGATTTGGAGTTAGGAATGGCTATGGGGTTGTGCCAGGAATTTTGGGTGGGAAACTCCTGGAATGTGGATGTGGGATTTCCAAACCCAGGGATGGGTTTGGAAGTGGCTCCTATAAAACTGAGGGGTCCCAGGGGTGAAAAAGGGGGAATTTGGCGGGATAATTCCAGGTTTTGCTGTGGAAGAGGCTGGAAATGTGGGGAGAATTAGGGATAAATCCCAAAAATCCTCTGGAAATTGAGAGGGGAGGGTCGGGCTCGGGATGCTGGAATCCATGGAATTCAGCTGGGGCTGCTGCAGCCCCCAGGAAATGCCTGAAAAAACTGGGAATGGGCTTGGAATGCAGCCCCTCCATCCTTCGGGAATTCCTTGTGGGAATCTGGGAAAAATGGACCCCAAAATGCTCAGAATCCAGAGTTTTCCTGGCTCTGGATCCAGAGTTTTTCCAGCTATTAATCTAGGATTTCCCGCCTCTGAATCCAGGGATTTCCAGGCCCTGAATCCATGGATTTCCAGGCCCTGAATCCATGGATTTCCCAGCCCTGAATCCAGGGATTTCCAGGCCCTGAATCCATGGATTTCCCAGCCCTGAATCCAGGGATTTCCTAGACCTGAATCCATGGATTTCCTAGCCCTGAATCCATGGATTTCCCAGCCCTGAATCCAGGGACTTCCCAGCCCTGAATCCAGGGATTTCCAGGCCCTGAATCCAGGGATTTCCCAGCCCTGAATCCATGGATTTCCCAGCCACCACTGTTGGGATTTTCCAGAATTTTTGCTTCCCTGAGCAGCTCTGGAATCCCAGATTCTCCTGCCCCGGGAACAGAACGACCCCGGAGATTTTGGGATCTGGGAACACACCCTGGATTTCACTGGGATAAACAGCCAAGGGAATTGGAGTTCATAGAAACCCCTGGAATTCCCAAAAATCTCACTTTTCCCACAGAATTCCCATCCCAAACAAAGCAGGGAGATGAAAATTCCCACTTCTCCAAGCAGAGCTCAAAAAAACCTTTGGAACAAAACAACAAAACCAAAACCTGGGGCAGCTTTTAGCTAAAAAAATTCCCATGAAATCACTGAAATTACACCAAAAAAAATCCTGATTTTTGCTCGGGGGGAGTTCCCAGGCGGAATTCCCGGGTTGATCCCGGGGTTTTTTTAATTCCCGGTTTTTTTTTCCCGGCGCAGCAGCCCGGGCAAGCGGAGAAGCTGGCCGGCACAATGGGAAAAAAGCAGAACAAGAAAAAGGTGGAAGAGGTGCTGGAGGAGGAGGAGGAGGAGTACGTGGTGGAGAAGGTTCTGGACCGGCGCGTGGTCAAGGGCAAGGTGGAATATCTGCTCAAGTGGAAGGGATTCTCCGAGTGAGTCCCGCCCGGATCCGCGCCTTTCCCGGGAAAACGGGGGGGGAAAAGAGGGAAATATCGGGGTGTGAGAGGGATTCCTGGCTGCTGGGAAATGCTGGGAAATCCTGCTGTGCCCAAGGAATTCCAGGGTGGCAGGGGTAGAAAGTCCTGGAAGGTTGCGGTGTTCCCAAGGATTTCCCATCCCTAGCAGGGAGGGAGAGAAAATCCAGGGATTTCCCAGCCCTGAATCCAGGGATTTCCTAGACCTGAATCCATGGATTTCTCAGCTCTGAATCCAGGGATTTCTTTGCTGTGAATCCAGGGATTTCCCAGCTCTGAATCCAGGGATTTCCTAGACCTGAATCCATGGATTTCCCAGCTCTGAATCCAGGGATTTCCTAGACTGAATCCATGGATTTCTCAGCTCTGAATCCAGGGATTTCCCAGCCCTGAATCCAGGGATTTCCCAGTTCTGAATTCAAGACTTTTCCCAGCCCTGAATCCAGGGATTTCCCAGCTCTGAATCCAAGGCTTTTCCCAGCTCTGAATCCAGGGATTTCCCAGCCCTGAATCCGTGGATTTTGAGGCCCTGAATCCGTGGATTTTGAGGCCCTGAATCCGTGGATTTCGAGGCCCTGAATCCATGGATTTCCTGGCCCTGAATCCAAGAGTTTTCCCAGCCCTGAATCCAGGGATTTTCCAACCACCACTGTTCGGATTTTCTGGAGTTTTTGCTGGAATCCCAGATTCTCCTGCCCCGGGAACAGAACGACCCCGGAGATTTCGGGATCCGGGAACGCGCCCCCAGGAATCCTCCCTCCCCTCCAGCATCCCAAATCCGGGCACTTCCCAATAAAACCAGAGTGGGAAAAAGCAGGGATTTGTCGTTTCCCGGCAGCGAGGACAACACCTGGGAGCCCGAGGAGAACCTGGACTGCCCGGATCTGATCGCGGAATTCCTGCAATCCCAGAAAACCGCCCACGAGAGCGAGAAATCCGAGGGCAGCAAGCGCAAGGCCGAGTCGGACACGGAGGACAAAGGGGAGGAGAGCAAGCCAAAGAAAAAGAAGGAGGAGGTGAGGGTGGATCCGGGAAAAAGGATTCCAAGGGGGAAAAAAATATCCCTGGGAAAGGGGTTGGGTTTTTTGGGGTGTTCCAGGGGGTTTTTGTGGAGGGTTGGGAAGGAGGAGGGAGGGAAAAGTGGGAAAATCGTGGGGTTCCCAAGGAATTCCAGCAGAGCAGGGAGGGAAAATGGGAAAATCCAGTGTTCCCAAGGATTTCCTATCCCAGGGAAAATCCCAGTGTTCCCAAGGATTTCCTATCCCAGGGGAAATCCCGGTGTTCCCAAGGATTTCCTATCCCAGGGGAAATCCCGGTGTTCCCAAGGAACTCCAAGAGGGCAGGGAGAGAAAATTCTGGGTGGGAAAATCCCAGTGTTCCCATGGAAAATCCTGGTGCTCCCAAGGAATTTCAGCAGGGCAGGAAGAGAATATCCTGGAAAATCCCAGTCCGTTCCCAGTCCATTCCCAGCAGAACCAATTCCCTGTCTCCTGTCCCTCCATCCCTTTCCCAGTTTCTCCCTGGCTCCTTCCCTTCCCCAGCTGATCCTTCCCAGCCCTGGGATCGTCCCCACATCCCTGCAATTCCATCCTGCTCCTCCCTGGAGAGGAACAGCGCTCCAGGAATTCACCCCTGGAATTTCCTCCCCTTTTCCCAGTCGGAGAAACCGCGAGGCTTCGCCCGAGGCTTCGAGCCGGAGCGAATCATCGGAGCCACGGATTCCAGCGGGGAGCTGATGTTCCTGATGAAGTGGTGAGGCCCTGGGCAGGGCTGGCAGCTCTTCCCTCATTCCAGGATCATTCCCAGGATCATTCCATTGCATCGTTCCCTTGGATCGTTCCGTGGGATCGGGGATCGGGTGGGATCGCTCCAGGGAGGGAATGGAGAGGATGGAGCATGGCCAGGGAAGGGTTTGGAGCTCCTGGAGAGGCTGAGGGAGCTGGGAATGTTGATCCTGGAGAAAAGAGGGATTAGGAGGGACTTTCTGAGGTTCCCACCAGGAGGGGACATCAGGCTCTGATCCCAGGGAATGGTCAGGGATCCCTGGAACATCCAGAACCCCTCAGGAATTCCATTCTCCTGCTCCCTGATCCCTCCTTATCCCTCTCCTTCATTCCCTCTCCTACCCCTGCAGGAAGAACTCTGATGAGACCAAACTGGTGCCTGCCAAGGAGGCCAACATCAAGTGTCAGGGTCAGGATTAGGGATCAGGGTTTGGTTTGGGTTTAGGGTCAGTGTCAGGGATCCCTGGAATATCCAGAACCCCTCAGCAATTCCATTCTCCCGCTCCCTGATCCCTCCTTTTCCCTCTCTCCACAGGAAGAACTCGGACAAGACCAACCTGGTGCCAGCCAAGGACCAGGGTTGGGATCAGGGGTCAGGGTCAAGATTAGGGATCAGGGTTTGGGTTTGGGTTTAGGGTCAGTGTCAGGGATCCCTGGAATACCCAGAACCCCTCAGCAATTCCATTCTCCCGCTCCCTGATCCCTCCTTTTCCCTCTCTCCACAGGAAGAACTCAGACAAGACCAACCTGGTGCCAGCCAAGGACCAGGGTTGGAATCAGGGGTCAGGATCAGGGTCGGGATCAGGGTTAGGGATCAGGGCTTGGTTTGGGTTTAGGGTCAGTGTCAGGGATCCCTGGAACATCCAGAACCCCTCAGGAATTCCATTCTCCTCATCCCCCATTCCTCCCTCTCCTCTCCCCACAGGAAGAACTCGGACAAGACCGACCTGGTGCCAGCCAAGGATCAGGCTCAGGGTCAGGATCAGGGATCAGGATTTGGGTTTGGGTTTAGGGTCAGTGTCAGGGATCCCTGGAACATCCAGAACCCCTCAGCAATTCCCTTCTCCCGCTCCCTGATCCCTCCTTTCCCCTCTCCCCGCAGGAAGAACTCGGACGAGGCCGGGACGAGGCCGACCTGGTGCCGGCCAAGGAGGCCAACATCAAGTGTCCGCAGGTGGTGATCTCGTTCTACGAGGAGCGCCTGACGTGGCACTCGTACCCCTCCGAGGACGATGACAAGAAGGAGGACAAGAACTAATCCCGGCGGCCTTCCGGGTGGCTTTTTTTTTTTTTGGGAAGACGATCCGAACTTTTTTGTGGGGTTGTGAGCAAAGGAGGGGGTTTGGAGGTGCCCTTGGAAGAGCCCCGCCCAGCCCCAGCCCGGTTTCTGTGCTCCTCTGCTCCCTGCCGTGTCCAGATTCCAAGCAGAATCCCATGGAATTCCCGATTCCCAGCAGAATCCCATGGAATTCCCAGCAGAACCCCGTGGAATTCCAGATTCCATCGGGGAGGGAATAGAGGGGTGAGGGTGGGAGGGAGGGAGAGTCGAGGGGGATACGGAAACTTTGGGATCGGGTGGGAATTGGGGGCTGGGGAGGGGTCTCAAAGCCCCTTCCGTGAAGGACTCGCCGGGATGGCCGGGCTGGGGATTGGGATTGGGATTGGGATTGGGAATGCAGATGGATCCTGCTTCCCTTCCAAAGCCCATCCCAGCAGCCCCCAGCCCCGTTCCCAATAGTGTTAACTCCATTTTTAAGGCGTAGCATGTCCGTAGGTCTTTTTGATTTGGAATTTTTTCATTTAATTTTCCTTTTATTTTCCTTTTTTTTTTTTTTATTTCGTTCATTTCTTTTTTAA